CTTAATAAAGTCCCAACTTCTGTTGGCGTTTAAAATTAAAACACTAAAGTTCACTGTCTTTTGAAATTATTAACAGTGTCTTTAAGACTTTTACAGTGTAGTAGTGATTGTTAAAAAAGGTTATTGAACATTATAGAGTTGAAGTTTCTTATAAATGTTATTACATAACCTTATACAATAAGTCTATATTGTCAAAGAGGTGAGCAAGAAACTTTTATTGTCATCACCAGCTTGTGTTGCGAGAGTAACTAGAATTCTTAATTTTTATGTATTATCCTACTAGATTTCTTCAATCACCAACATGATATCTGCAAATTAACTTAGTTTATTGTTAGTTGTATTGATATTGATTATTATATCTTTTTGGATATAGTGGAATACAACTTCTTGAATATTTTCAGATAATAATAGTTGTATATCAGTTTCTTAGATGTATCTAGTCTAAACATTAACAAGTAAACAACACTGGATTTGGTAATAATGATCATGTCAATTTTTTGGAGAGGGTAAACCATCTATCTTTTTTCTGTAAGGCCATGAAAAAGAGAAAAATTCTAAAGCTCACGTCTTGAGAGAAGTTATCACTTCTGAATATGGTCTTGAGAAAAGTGAGTTAGCTGGCTAGGAGATTGATATTATGGAAAGTGGGTTTATAAAAGAAAGAGAGACCTAAAGAAAAAACTTTCAGGAAGAAGAGAAAACCTTACTTCAACAAGAAAGGGGAAAGAGAAAAGGGAGGGGATGAAGTGTATATAAAAAAAGTACATAGAAAGGAGAGATGAAAATAGGAAAGAGAGAATAAAAAGTATAGGAAAGAAAAAGTAAAGGAGAAGGGAAAGGGGAGAATAAAAGGAAAAAGTAAACAACTCAAAGATTTTCTAAAAAGGAAATTTTCGAATGCAGAAGAGAAAGTGAAAAAAAGTTTTCATTTGTAAATATATTCTAAAAAGATTTATAAATTAATAATAAATTATATTATATTAAAAGTATTAAATATATATTAGAAAACTTACTTATTAATATTTTAATAATAATATTTATTATTATTATTAATTTATTTACAAAAGTATAAACAAAAAAAATAATTAATAATTTATTTAAAATTATTCAGTAATAATATTACTTTTAATCAAAAAACTGTAATCATTTTAATTTAAAATAATAAAATAATAAATTGAAATGTGAATAATAAATTGTTATTTTGAAAAGGTATTATTTATTTTAAATTTTTGTTTATATAATAGCAACAGACCATTTACTTACTTAAAACAACAAAACTAGTAGTAATATAACTATAGTGATTATTTGATTTTTTAATTTTTCTATTTTTCTTGTTTATTGAATTGTTCTTTTTGTTTTTCACTTAAAATATATAAATATAAATCGAATGTAATAAAAAGAAGAGATATACTGTATAAAATCTTTAATTTAATACTTATTATAAATTATTATTTCAATTTAATTTTAATTTAATTATTTAATTTCAATTTATTAAATAATATACTTTTCTTAACTCATGTTAGACATTATTATTAAACAAGTTATTTGTACAGATGTAGATGATGTGCAAAAACCTCAACACGAGAATTAATGCTATATCTACTAACAATATACTATAAATACACATGTAAGTATATCAATATATATACAGTATATAAGAATAAAAAAATATTATTGTTTTCTTTATTTTACAATATCATAAAATTTTGAAAATACTTAGAAGTAACGGTATTAGGTGATTAAGAGTAAACTATCATTTGTTAGAATCATTGGTCAAAAGGATATAAAAAAAATAGAAAATGGTTTTTAAATAATGATACATAAAAAAATATAGACCTTTAAAAAATAACGATAGTGATAGCAAGAATTAATTGATCCAATAAGAATAATCTTAAACAATTTAAGCTTGAGATTAATCAAATCGCCAAGCACGTTAAAATAATACCTCATATTAAACTAACATAAATTGTTAATAAATTTATAAATAATCATATGGCAAAAAAAAAAAAAAAAGGAATCACGCAATCCGATCGGGAACAATTGTTTATTGCAGTTTATTTTGATACCCATGGTGAATTCTAGAAACTATGTGTTGTGAAAAGGATGACATACGTTCCATTTTGAATACAATGTCACTTCTAATTGATATTAACCGTATGAAAGTTTGTGAATATTATTATTTTAACAATCAACATCATGCCAAAGATTAAATTTATCACGTTCTTGTGAAACTGTCTTGTCTGTATTTTTAGAGTAATTAAGAAATCCTAGTGAAGAAAGAAAGTAGTAAATTTATTACCACGGCTCATCCATTATTTCCATGTAAATTCCATTGCAACTAAAAATGAAATAATCATTTTATAGTCCGGCCCCTTTATTAACGTTTGTCTTCATCATTTCGTTATCAAGGTCTACATTTCTTGTGGAGTTATTAGCTTTTGAATGACGTCTTCCGTAAAACACATAAACCAACAGCCCAATCGCCATCCAAATGAACAATCTTATGATACTATTTCTTGATGCGGTCGCCAAAAGGAGTAGATTTAACGAAGATCCTAAGATTGGTACTAAAAACGGACCTCCCGGAACTTTGAACTTTCTTGGAGCATCAGGTGCAATTAGGCGTAATACCATGACCCCAATGTTAACGAAGAAAAAAGCAAGCAAGGTGCCAACGGATGTAAGTTCTGAAAGAATATCAATGGGAAATAGTGCAGCCGTTATAGCACAAATGGTACCGCAAAGTATGGTAGTAAGATATGGAGTTTGGAAACGAGGATGGATCCTAGATCCTAAGGTTGGGAGGAACAGTCCATCACTGGAAGAAAAAAATAATCAATACTTTTTAGTTTGATAATTTTGTACAGGTGTAACGAAATGGTAAGATACTTGCTTTGCCATCGCCAAGAAAATACGTGGTTGACCCATCAAAGACACAAGAATTACGGATAACAAACCGCACACTGCGCCAAGGTCTACTATTATTCCAAGCCATTTCATTCCCGTCATGTCGGCAGCTACCGCAAGTGGAGCAGGACTCGCAAG